GAGAAGCAATTTAAATATGTTCAGGGACCATTTTCATCTCCAGAATTAAGGATTATTTTGATGTTACATCACTGCCTTTTCTCTTTTACTTTCCTTTTTAGTTTGATTTTAGGATTCCCTAGTTTTAATGTTCATACAGAGATTTCTTTAACTGAAATACCGAATAGTTTCTTTGGTGTGAAAAACTACAATAGTGCACAGGATCCTAATGAGATAATTAATAATGTGAAATAGGAAGTAAAGGGCTAAAGGTGTAGGGAAAGTGGGAAGGGTGGGGGAAAGGTAATAAGGGAGAGGAAAAAAATATGAGAAATTGAAAAAATGGAAATAAAGTGTTTGTAAATGGGGAGGGGAGGAGGGGGTGAAGGGAGGGCAGGACAAGGGGAAAAATGAGAATCAAGACCTATTATGTAAAGGTACAGAATCCCAATGATGAATGTAATTGTATTGTATACCTAGATTGTACCAATAACCTCAATAAAAAGAAAAAAAAAAGAAAAGAAAAGAAATCAGATAACAACAAACGCTGATGATGCTGGAGGAGAGAAAGAACCTTTCTATATTATCAGTAGGAATGTAAACTATTACAACCACTGTGGAGATCAGTATGGTGATTTCTCAAAAACAAAACGAAACAAAACAAAACAAAACAAAACTAGAAATTCCATTTGACCCAGCTGTTCCCCTTCTAGGTATCTTCATGAAAGGGATAAAGATATTGTATCACAGTGCTACACGCATACCCATGTTTATAGCAGCACAATTCATAATAGTAAATTTGTACTAATGTAAGCATGTACTAATAAAAAGTTAAAAATGCCAGGCATGGTGGCGCCTGCTTATAATCCTAGCATTTGGGAGGCTGAGGCAGGAAGACTGCTGTGAGTTCAATGCCAGCGTGACTCCAAACTTCATCCCAAATCCTTCCATCCATCCAGCAATCTAGTCTAATCTAATCTATCTCAATTAAATTTTATGTTTTTCTCAGGTGATAATAGGATATGTTAGTGAAACTGTAAAGTGTAAAACTGAAATGAAATCTGGGTACCACTACTATGCACTCTCCTAACATGGGTCTAATACAGTCCCTCTGTTCAGCCACACAAAGACATAGTCTGCTAGATTATCCCTGGATACCACTATGTAAAGTTGGTTCCTGCAGCATGTTCAAATATGAAAAACAAGAGTTGTATTATGTAAAACTTCTTAAAAAATGGGACAACCACTGAAAAAGATGCCTACATATATGCAAGATTAGTCAGCTGTTTATTTTCTATGGTAATTAGAGAAGAGGATAAATATATTTGTGTATGCGAGTTTATATATATATGCTATGGCCCAAATTCAGAAATCTATTCATTTGCATATAGACACACCTGCTTTTCTAACCTTCTTTTTTAAATGATAGGGTTTTTCCTATTCTAAATATAATATTTAGGTTCATAGAAAATGTGCAAAGGAAATAAAAAGCACAAAGAAAAGTAAAAGAAGAAAATGAGTCATTCATAAACCCATAACCCAGAAATAATCTATAAACATT